AACATGAAATTACAATAACAGATTTACTTTTTTCAGACTGGAGATAGCCTTCTGTTATTCCCTGATATGAATAATTTAGGAGATGGAAAAGATAACATTAACACTGGCAGTTAGTCTTGTCTATTCTAGATATGTAGAAAACTGGCAAATAGTTGAAATCTTCTCAGTGACTTGGATTGTCCTTGTTTTCCCCATGTAATTTTTTTTTCTTTATTATAAAAGAATATTGAGACTTGCTGTGGGCCTGTTTACTGTTAATGTAGAAATTTTCTGTTAGGGCTGGTGACTGGAAATTTTGTGTGTGTCCCTGTCTTTATGTTTGAAAAGGTTACGTTTACTACTTTTGTTTTAGTCCATTTAATATCCTGTTTTGCTCCGCCTTTCCACAGACATTAACTGCAAACCTTCATATAATAGGCAGGGTACTAGCTAGGTACTAGGGTTATAGAAAACCTCCTTAAGTTTTTTTCTTGTGGTGTAGGAGGCAAGTAATGGCTGCTCAAAGCACATGTATGATATGTTTTCTGACAGAAAGAACCAGGTGCAATGGCAAATTATAAGACAAATACCAAATTCAGATTTTGACCTTAAGTCTTCCCAGATAAGTTGATCTTGAGTTCAAAACTGAAGGATGTATAGGGATAATACAAAGTAATCTTTTCTATTCTCTTCAGCCTTAACCCAGTAGTTCTACACAGTCATGGGGTTTCAGTCATTTTGAAGGAAGATGCTACTTTTCCTGTTTTCCAGTACTATACCTCAACCTATTTTAGTAGTTAATTGTAAGGGAAGTATATTGTTTCAAAATATAAAGTATTAATTTTGGTTAAGGGGAAGTTTTTCAGTTGAAAAGTCCTAAAGAAAATGTTGGTAGAATATATTATATATATATATATATATTATATATTAATATATATTACATATATAATATATATATAATAGGTTAGTACATTCCTATCCTGAACTTCTGCTTATTCTTGGTCATATGGTGTTTATATTTAAACAAAGCTTTATATTGCACCCATGGACTTGCTGTCTGGACCAGGAGTCTTTGCTCCATATATTTCAGGGCCAGTTGCTGATGTTCTCTAGATCTTCAGATTTTAGATCTTAGCATTTCCACTCTCATAAAAACCCCTACTTCTTTGGCCACCATGTTATCTGAACACCACACCTCATAACTTTCCTCATTTGCAGACCATTAAGGAGATTCTTCCTTTTTTAGTGAAACCCTTGCTCCTGCCTGGGTTACTTTTGTGATTTATCCATAACCTTGGCCTTGGCATTTTATTAATTTTCTCATCTTTAGTGATTAACTCTTTTCCACTTTAGCACTCACTCTCATAGCCCACATTCTGTTCCTTGTCACCCAGAACTCATTACTTCTGAAGTTATCAATTCGGGTTGATCACTGAACATACTACTTCCTCTATTTCATGTTTCTTAATCCTCTGCTTCCGATTCATATAATTTCTTTATCAGTCGTTTCCTAAATTTATTTTTTTGCCTCAACAGAATTTCCAATTCATATAATTTCTTTATCAATCCCTTCCTACATTTATATTTTTGCATCTTCATCATGGTATCAGTCTTAAACCTTTCTCTTGCCAAGATTCTCTTAATTCCTCCCAACTGTCTTTTTATCAAACCCACAGGACAAAATCTTAACTCTGCATTTTCTAAGCACTACTGGATTTTTTTTAAAAAAATCACATAGGCAGTAACAACTGTACAAGTTTATTGTTAACCAACCTCAAATGGGCCCACACAGTTATGGTGTAATTCTATTTTTTCTGGTCCTCTCATTTTTTACACAGTTATTTTAGACATTCACCACTCTCCATGTCTCTAGCCTTCTATTCTTAGCAGATGAGTTGGTATTTCATTTCATAGAGATATTGGAAATCCTCAAATGAGAACCCCACAATTCCTGCCATGAAACATACAAACTTATTTACATCTGCACTCACTCTGTTTTGTTTATTTGTTCTTACCATTCATAGCAGGAGGAGTCTTGCTTTCAAGGAGTGGAAAAATCACATGCCTTTAGAAATCAAGTGGATAATATAAACATATGAAGCAGTAGGGTAAGGAGTAATTCTGTGGCCTGTAACAAATTCATCAGAGCTATCTAAGGACATCAAATTTAAGTTTTTAATATAACTCTATCAGCTGGAGAAAAGCCTGCCACAATGAACGTGTCTGGTGACCCAAGACTAATCTTCACATTCGAGCTCTGGATCCTGTTCCCTGTGGCCTTCAAGGCTTTCCCTGCCTGAATATGCCTGTTTTCTCTGGTGTCCATCCCTCTTTTGCTAGTCTTTCTTCCCCACCAACATTTGAACATTTCCAAGCTTGCCCTGTATTTTAAAACCTTCATTTATCCCTATTTTCTTTTCTAGCTACTGTACTTTCTCACTTTTACATTTTAACTAAAGAGAGGGTTGCCTGCAGGTTTGGTGTTTGACAAAGTTCGATCAGAGTCCTTACGCTAATGTTGATGAGCTTTGAAACTTCTGCCATCTGTCTCTAAGCCTGTTTCCTCATCTGTAAAAATGTGGGTAACATTTATACCCAGTCATAAGAGTAAGTATTAAGGGAGAGAATGCATATAAAACAGCACAAAATAAGAACATGCTTAGACGAGTATTCAGATATATTTGCTTCAGTCTGTGGCAGTCTTTTCTGTCCCTGTCCCTGAATACTTAATGCATTTGTTTACTAGGTTTTTTTCTCAGTAGTACTCAATACCACGGACTACTTGGTCTGCTCAGTGCACTCTCTTCGGCAGTTGTTTCTGACACACACCCCCCGCTTACCCTTGTTTCTGTGAGTGCTCCCTCCGGTGCCTTATGCTCTTTGTCCTGTGGCCACCCTTTAAATATTTATATTCCTCAGGATTCTGTCTTGGTCTCTATGCAGTTATTAAAGTTGATCTATCAATTTGCCTCTAATCTCTCAAGAAGCCAAAGTAAAGAAGAAGCATTATGACACTAATTTACAGTTAATGATTATTTACAATGTCTTAGGCATTTTTTATAGGCACTTTACATGTATTACTTGATACAGTCAACACTCTGTGAGGTAGGTGAGTACTGAATACTGAGAGGTAAACCTGCCCAAAGTCTTACTGCAGACAATTTAATTCTAGACCATTGAATTCTGGAGCTTGCCTTCCTAACTATAACACTCTACACTGTTACAAATCTGCTCCATGATTATTAGTATTTAGAAGGGTAAAGCATTTTTCAGGGGAGTGAAAGGGTCTTCTGGGACTTAGGCCTGAAATGATATATGTGATGATCCTTTAGGGAGATGCTAGAGTATCCTGTTATGATTCTATAATAAATACCATAGTAACATTGTATTCTTAGGAGGAACTTCTCAGTAGGAGAACATAACATTATACCAAAACAAAACACACCGTGTGTGTGTGTGTGTGTGTGTGTGTGTGTGTGTGTGTAATATGTATATAGTTTTTCCATAATTACATTTTTCAAACAACCCTTGGATAGAAATTTGGGAGCTAACATTTCAAAGTTATGTTTAATAGTTTAAAAAGAAACAAAATCAGGACTCCTGGGTGGCTCAGTTAAGCGGCTGCCTTCGGTCAGGTCATGATCCCAGTGTCCCGGGATCAAGTCCCACATCAGGCTCCTTGCTCGGCAGGGAGCCTGTTTCCCCCTCTGCCTCTGCTGCCACTCTGCCTGCCTGTGCTCGCTCGCTCGCTCTCGCTCTCTCTCTGACAAATAAATAAATAAAATCTTTTAAAAATAAATAAATAAAAATAAAAAGGACAAAATCAGTATCTTACTCAACTTTGTATCTATAGTTTCTAACCCAGGGCCAGTCACTTAGAAATAATTCAGCCAGTATCTGTGGAATGAGTGTGGCCACACTTACCTGGTCTGTTACTAAAGAAAGAACGACTTGGAACAAGATGTATTTAACATGACAGGTTCTGAGGGTGAAGTTGACAGTTGCTTGCAAAATCTGATGAGTTCAAAAGGCAAAAATAAGAGGAACTCTGTCCCCGTGTCCTCTCTTTCCTCTCTATTTCCATATTTACTTACTCCTTAATTTATGCAAAAGCATTTATTTGACTCTTCCTATATATACCAAGTACTCTGCAAAGTGATAGAGATCCAGTGGTGAATAAGACAAAATCCCTATCCTTAATATGTTTAGATTCTCGTGAGGTATATAGAAAACTAATCTGATGGTAAGCAAATACTCCGATAATACACAGCTATTCAGGCAGTGAGAACAAGATAGAAGAAGTATGGTATGTTCAAGAACTTTAGATCTTGTTTAGGGTTGCAGGGTGTATGTGAATATGAGAAATGGTGAGAAATGAGGTTTGTGGTAAGCCAAGCTAGGTTGTGGTTTTTGACAGTTTTCCCTTCTACCCCCCGCCCCCAATATCTCTGTAATACCTTTCTATTAGTCTGGTGAGTAGAAGGAAGATCAGAGGAGAAATATGTTCCAAGTGCCACAAAATTCCTTTATTTATTTATTTATTTATTTATTTATTTATTTATGCTGAATACCATAACTGAAACTGCATGATTAATCTCTTCAGTAACTATTTTTTCACTGTGGATATTTGATATTCAGATGGCCCTTCATCTCTAAGTTGTGAATTCCTCAAGAACAGGGGCTGTGTTTTGTTCATCTGTGTCTTTAGCATGTAATAGTTTCTCAAACAAAAAAGCTATTTAACATTGATAGTGATTTTATGTCATTCTAGTAACCAAAGCATAGTTGCCCTATTTTTTCTATGAAAAACAGAGCTCAAGTTTTAAACAAATGAACTTACAAACTACTGTCAGTTTAAGATCATCTGTCTTTGAGTAGGGAAAATTACTACACAGAAGAGTTGAAGTTTTGTTTTGTTTGTTTTTTAATTACAAGGATATTCACAGCGTAACAGAAGAACACAATAAAAAATTTGTTCAACTCTGTTTAGCTTGAAATGTTTATTATTGTTTTGATTTTAGACTTATGAGGAAGATCAAAGAAATTACTCCAACCTTCAAATTAGATGTCAACGTTTGGCTTTAGAATTAGCAGACACAAAACAGTTAGTTCAGCAAGGGGATTACCGTCAAGAAAACTATGATAGAGTCAAAAGGTAAGCTGTGAAGATGGCTGCTGTAGTTCTCCTTTTTCACATGCATCAAAATCCTCTGAATTCTTACTGTTGACATCGTTAATTTCACTTTGTGTCTTATTCTTTTTCTGTGTCTGTAGTTTTAACTTTTCCAGAATGTCATATAGTTGGAATCACACAGTATGGGACCTTTTTAAGATTGGTGTCTTTGACTTAGCGATGTACATTTAAGCTTTCTTTATGTCTTTTCATGGCTTGATAGCTCATTTCTTTCTGTTGCTGAATACTATTTCATTGTCTTGATGTACCACCATTCATGTATCCATTCACCTGATGAAGGACATCTTGGTTGCTTTCAAGTTTTGGTAATTCTGTGTAAGGCTGCTGTAAACATCCATGTGCAGATTTTTGTTGGACCTAAGTTTTTAACTCCTTCGGGTAAATACTTAGGAGCACAATTGTTTATGATAAGAGTATTTTTAGTTTTGTAGGAAGCCACCAAACTTTCTGTCCCAAAGTGGCTGTACCATTTTGTATTTCCACCGACAATGATTGAGAATTCCTGTTGTTCCATGTCTTTGCCAGTATTTGGCACTCTGGATTTTGGCCATTCTGATAGGTGTGTAGGGATATCTCACTGTTTTTTTTAATTTGCATTTTTCTGATGACCTGATGTGGAACATCTTTTATGTGTTTATTTTCAATTTGTATATCTTCTTTGGTGAGGGTCTGTTAAGTCTTTGGCCCATTTTTAATTGGGTTATTTGTTTTCTTACTGTTGAGTTATAAGATTCTTTGTATATTTTGGATAACAGTCCTTATCAGATATGTCTTTAGCAAATACTTTCTCCCAGTGTATGGCTTGTCTTTTCATTCTCTTGACATATACCTTAATCTGCATTGCACAAAAAGCATGTGGCTTTGGCAGTTTGTTGGGTTTAGATTGTATTTTTATATCGGCTTTTATTTTATTTGGAAGTTGCTGCTGTCTTTTAAAATGTAATATCTTAGAAGAAAGAGACCCAGTAAAGTCCCATGGGTGTAAATATGTTTTACATCACACTTGGTGATTATTTTTGTTTTATGGAATCAATTTAAATACTTATTTTATCTCAAGTATTTTTTAGCTATTCCTTTCTGACAAAGAGTGTACACACTTTGAAAAAAAAAAAAACTTTCTGAGAAGGTTTCCCATGGCTACTGAGTAGCTATTGCAAAGAATTTTCCTTTTACTGGAATATTAATTAATATTAATATTAATTAATTTTGATTTAATTAACTGCTTGACTCTATAGCTCTTACTATTCTGAGCCAAAATTTTGTCAGCCATGAGAGGGCACTGATACCAATAAATGTTCTATAAAAACAAAAAAAAAAATCAAATAAAGGAATGTTTATGAAAGTATTTATAGATAGGATATTGTCCTAATTGTTCACTGCTCTCTCTACCTGCACCTGAAGTAATTCTTGAAATATAGTAGTCACTTAATGAATATATATTAAATGAATGGACATTTTCAAAATTACATAACAACTTAAGTAAATTTCAAGGAGCAGATTGGTACTCCTACTCCCAGCATGCTGACATGCAGTGTATGTTATTTTGCATGTATTAATGTCAAACTATGGTTATTATTGGAGCTCAAAATCCGTGGCTCTTAAATAAAGCTAGATTTCAAAAGAATCATTTCAAAAGTAGACTGTGTTAGTAAGATAATGTTTTGAGTTGGTGTTTTGATGTCCTCTCTACCACTATAAATCTGTAGCAATAATAGCTAAAACTTGAAAAGAGAAAACTAAAAAACCTAATCATCAGAATAACCAGCATGGCCATGAATGAAGGATAAATGAACCAAGATGAGTCATGAGTTGGTAGTTATTAAGGCTGGGTGATGAGAACAAGGGGTTCAGTATATCATCTCTATTTATATATATGTTTTATTTTCTATAATAAAAACCTTGGAAGGAAAAACATAGCCCTAATCAAAAACATGATAAACAACTTTATGTCCTAGATATAGAACAGAAAAACAAACAAGCAAGAGGGCTCAAACTGAACCTTTGGTTCACTCAATAGAATAGTTTTAAGAAATGTTCTGGTTACTAATATATAAGATAAATGGTGGGGGAGAATCACTTTTACATCCCTAATAAAGTCTTATAAATGTGCAAAAAGGAAACAGGTATGTGGACGTTAATCATACCATTATTAGAAAGATTTTAGATGCTTTTCAGCAGCGGAATGGAAAATCGGTTATAATTTATTTCTACAGTGTAATTCAACGTGGCAGTTAAAATCATTAAATTAGATCTGAATTGTATCTATACGGATAAGTCAGACACATTATACTTTAAAAAGTGTGTCCAACTTTAAAATTTTTTTTTATTTTAGAAAGATGTGTCCATCTTTTTTTTAAGTAGTTCATTAATTTCTGCATAACATAATTTTCTCAGGTTTATTTTCTATTTTCATTACTTAGCCCCTTCTCTAATGAGTCCTGCTCCCTTAGCATGGAATACTATTTAGAAATTAATATTTGGATGCTGGTAATTGATACATTGGTCATCGTTTCTAGGCCCTTTCAGTAAAGAGAGATAATGGAGAGAGAATAGGAATGATGGCTTAACACACTATGGGTAAGATCATACTGTTACCTCTCATTCTAATTCAGTGCCATAGTAGCTGGTTGAAGGGGCTTCCAACTGTCCAAATATGGTACAATTTGATTATCAAAATGAATATTAATAATAACGAGTTATCATCTGTTGACTAGAATGAGAACTCTGAGTGCATGCTAATAATAAAGAGGATTTTTACGGAAGAATGCCAACCAATAAATATATATGCATATTACAGTTACCCTTTTATAACTTTATAATATTATTTGATTCATAATTATCGATGGAAGCTAAAACCATTGGATAAAAGGATATTAGGGAACAACATATTTATACAGTCTCAAAGTATGTTTCCTGTAGATTACTTATTAATTGTGGAGGGCAAAAAGATACTTTTGTATTTGAATTTTTGGAGACAACAGCTTAACCAGGTGACCAGGATTATTTTCACCAGTCATGGGAGATAGTGACTTTTTGTGTACTGAGACTTTATATACTCTTTATGGGGCATACTAAGGACACATTATCACTTGTGTGATATCTCTCCCCCGAATGCTTAACCTGAATCCAATTACAAGGAGACATCAGACCAATGAAAATTGAATGACATTCCATAAAAGAGTTGGCCAGTGCTCTACAAATAGACTCTCCCCCCAACCCCAACAAATAGCCTTTCTATATCTTTTACAGCGTGGACTAAGGAAGTGCTCTGAGTTAAAGGCGGTTAAAGATACATGATATTGAAATGCAATGCATGATAATACATTGGATCCTAAACCAGGCCGGAAAAATGACAGTTGGAACAATTGACAAAATTGGAAAATGGATTATATGTTAGATACTGTATTAGGGCTAATAGTACTGTGATTATGTAAGAGACTATCTTTAATCTTAGAAAATTCACACCGAACTATTTAGGGATAAAGGGACTTAATGTCTGTATATATCTCTTAAATAATTAAGGAGAAAAACTGCACGTGTGTGTGTATGTGTGTGTGTATATATTTATTCACCTATATGAACAACAGAGAGGGAAAGAACAAATATGACACTGTATTATTTACTAAATATTACAAAGTAAATATGACAAAATGTTAACACTTGGTGAATAAATATTTAAAAAAACAACAACATGGAAACACTAAATTCATCGTTATACCTAGAGGATGATATAGGAACAGTAAGGAAAATATTGGCAACTTTAAGTTTACCTGTAGTGTCTTATCTTTTTAAAAAGCAAAACAAAACTTTAATGTAAATATAGACCAGTGTTAACTCTTGTCCACTGTGGATAGCAAGATCATGAATGTTTTGCTATATCATGCTTTATATGGATTTCTTTTTACATAAGAAGAATCATAGCAAAAGTTGCGTGATTATTACCATTTGAGAATACAAACATTTATATATAAACACACAAAACACTTAAAGTAATATGTACCAAAATATTGTTACTGTCAGTCATCTTTAGTTAGAGGGTTTATGGGTGATTGTTATTTTAAAATTTGTGCTTTGCTCACTTTTCTTCAATAAACATAACTTTGTTAACCAGAAGAAAAATATTTTTCTAAACCAGTTACTGAAAATCTAACTAAAAGAAAAACAATTCTTAACAGCCATCAGCACGGAAACATCAGGTAGGTAGATGACATAAAGTATAAAGAAAAAGAAACGGATTCTGACTGGACAGGATAAATTTAGTTAGTAAGTCTATTTCTCTGATCACTTTTTAAGATACCTGTTGTAGGTTTGTTCCAATTCTTGGTTTCACTGTTTTGGATTAAGAGCTTATCTTCAAATGGAAACTAGAATCTCTGGGTAATCATAAACAATTTGTGAATGAAATAGTCACAAAAATGCCTCCTTGTGTATCTGCTGTGCAATCTGAGTGATGAGTTAAGGGCTTTTTGACGCTAACTGAAAGCCTAGAGCCATATATAAATTCTTAAAAGTTTTGGCTTCAAGATAAGATTGATGATGATTAGTGAAAAGATACCAGAGTGTACCTTAGAAGGTTTTATTAAGTATTTTACTGGCCAATGTAGTTTACATACTTATTTTTTAAAGATAATAAATTTATATTTATGTATCTGAACAGTCTTGAACAGAGAGTCTCCTAAATTTGAAAAGCAGATACTTTATTGTTCATAGAATGACACTAAAGCCCCACTGCTGGTTATCTCTGTTAAGTTTCCTGAAACATAGTGCATTTTAAATTTTCATTGTAAAATTGGATATAAAAAAATAAAATGGGATATAAAATATATATGTATTTGAATTTTATTTAAGTAAAAATAAACAAGTATATTTGAATTTTATAGTGAACGTGATGCACTTGAACAGGAAGTAATTGAGTTACGGAGAAAACATGAAATACTTGAAGCCTCTCACATAACTCAAGCTAAAGAAAGAAGTGAATTATCAAAAGAGGTAAGCTTATAGAGTCACATGTATTTTATCTATAATGACTGTGGACATAGTCCAGGGCAGAATTGTGGGAGGGACAGTTTTCCTTTTTGATGTAGTTAACAAAAAAAGGGACTTGAATAGGGGTTTGGATGGAAAATTGCAAAATAAGAATGAGCCCGTTTTATGTGGTAAGTAAGAGCCCAAGTGAAAGAAAATAATACAGTAAACCTTGAAGAGTCAGAGGAAGTTGCTTTGGACACTGTCTGTCTCTGTACCTATGTAGGTAACCACCTTACAGCAGACTGTTACTTTGCTGCAAAAAGATAAAGACTATCTCAATCGCCAAAACATGGAGCTTAGTGTTCGCTGTGCCCATGAAGAAGGTCGCCTTGAAAGACTTCAGGTTCAACTTGAAGAAGCCAAAAAGGCTAGAGAAGAGATGTATGAAAAATATGTAACATCCAGGCAAGATTTATGTTATTTTTCACATAAAGATATAAGATATAAATTAGGTATAAATTAACACCAGCTTCTTTGAGGGAAAAACAGGGTTTTTTTAAAGGTAAATAGGACTGTATTTTTTTTTAAATAGGACTGTATTAAGGTAATAGTTCATTTTGTTTCCTTGTAATATATTCTTATCCTAGTTGGTTTTTTCTTAAGACATAGTGGGTTTTTTTCCCCAATAATGAAAAACCTATTTCTTTTAGGTCAGCATATAAATGCTGTAACTACTGTGTTTTCTTATGACGTAACCTTTTTACTTCCCTACAACTAAGGTCTCTATACAAATGTTTTTTGAAAGAAAGTACGTAAGTATCTCTACAGAAGTATCTTTTTGAAAAAAAAGTAACTGTGCAGAGCCTAGCTAAGCTGACCTTTTCCTGACTGTGTAAAACATTAAGAGAAGAATGAGGAGACGGCGCTGCATACGAGCTCTGGAATCAGACTCCTGCATTTCAGTCCTGTCTTCTCTCTTCGACTAGGTGCCTAAGCTATTAGAGTTCTTTTATACCAATACCCCTTATAATCCTTGAGATACTCATTTTTATCACATCAGAAACTAAAATTTAAAATGTTATCCTTTAACCCTTCACACATTCATAACTTTTTCCCTAGGCTATGGCATTTTTCATCAGTTTGTGCTCCTGCTAATGGCCTAATATTTTGTGACTTTGCTAAGAGATTGCAGTGGTTATGGTCATTGTGCTTAGAAGGAAAGGTTTTATAAGGAGTCTATTAGAGTCATTTTGCTTTTGTTTTTAATTTTATTTGTATCTCAACATGTAATGCACAACATTATTTTTAAATGATGGGCATTCCATATGCATCAGTTTTCAAGTCTCTGGTCATATGCATTAAAGACTAGTAAAATATTTTTGAAAATTAATGGTTATTCAACATGAATTAGCATTTTATATAGTAATTAAGCCTTTTGGGCAATATATCTAACAGCTGTGTTTTTCAAATAACATTGAATATAGAACATATTCAATATAAGATAATAAATCTTACATGAAGGGCAAACAAAAGCAAAATTCATGGATATTACTTTTGACTCCTTGCAGAGATCATTATAAAACAGAATATGAAAATAAGCTACATAATGAATTGGAACAAATCAGGTTGAAAACTAATCAAGAAATTGATCAACTTCGAAGTGCCTCTCGGGAAATGTATGAACGGGAAAACAGGTATTTAAAAAAAAAAAGGAAACTTGTAGGTAAAAGTAGGAAATTTATTTCTTTTTGTTTGAAACTTGTATTTTATTGAAATTAGACTATTTCTATGACAGTCTCTTCTTTAATTTATTAAAGAAAATTTGTCAAATCTAAATCAAAATATAATGAAACATTAAAGTTCTAAGATCTTTGGTAACTAGCTCAGAACAAGGTTCATCAGACCTTAAGTTAAGCCTTTTCACTCTGGTATTCCCTTTATCTCTTCATTATCCTGGTAACTTCTTTTTGCCTTTATGGCAGTTTGGATTGAAAACAGATGAGGGGGGCCTGGATGGCTCAGTGGGTTAAAGCCTCTGCGGCTCAGGTCATGATCCCAGGGTCCTGGGATCGAGCCCCACATCGGGCTCAGCAGGGAGCCTGCTTCCTCCTCTCTCTCTCTCTGCCTGCCTGCCTCTCTGCCTACTTGTGATCTCTGTCTGTCAAATAAATAAATAAAATCTTAAAAAAAAAAAAAAATAAGAGATATCAGTAGTTTTTCCCAAAACATACAAATGATTTATCCAAGAAATTTTTTAAAACTGGAATAATAATATGAAATATTACATATACCTCATTTATTTGCTGTCCCTGACAGGTGTTATATTAGATAATCTTGAAAATGATCAATTTTATTCATTTTAATCACTTTTAGATTAGTATATATTGGGGTGCCTGGGTGGCTCAGTGGATTAAGCCTCTGCCTTCGGTTCAGGTTGTGATCCCAGGGTCCTGGGATCTAGCCCAGCATCAGGCTCTCTGCTCAACAGGGGGCCTGCTTCCCCTTCTCTCTCTGCCTGCTTCTCTGCCTACTTGCGATATCTCTCTCTCTCTCTGTGTCAAATAAATAAATAAAATCTATTAAAAAAAAAAAGATTAGTATATATTAGGTTTCCTTAGTTGGTGACCGGTAGTATTAGGGGCAAATAAATACTACTTACTTCGATAGCATCTATTTTTATATACTATCATGCTTCATATGACTTTTGAAAGTTTATATTTTAGGGGGAAAATTATTTTGAAATCGACTTAATTGTCATACTAGTTTATCAGCACAGATTTGAGTATATAAAATTTTGAAGTTTGTCATCAAGCAAGACTTTAAATCAGACTTAATTCTATAATTATCACTGTAACATGTTATTCTATTAGAAGTACAATAGCAAAAAATCTGAGAGTTCCACCCCTCAGTTTTGGGGGTGGGGAATCTCTGCTAATGTAGTTGGCCTCTACTGAGGAAAATATGTAATAACTACATGTGCAGAATTATCCTTTGGGTAGAAAACCAACAAAGATCACTTTTAAATCACTGTTAAATTGTTATTTTAATAAAACAGATTGAGAGAGATTTTTATGATAATGCTGAAATGCTTTTGAGCAGTTAAATAACTGGACAACCACATGGAAAAAAATGAAATTAGACCACTTACACTATACCTAAAAATTAACTCAAAATAAGGACTTGATTGTAAGATCTAAAACCATAAAACTCCTAGAAGAAAACATCAGCAATAAGGTCCTCCACATCAGTCTTGGCAATGATTTTTTTAATCTGACAACAAAAGCATAGGCAACAAAAGCAAAAATGGCTGTCCAGTTTTCTCAACACCATTTACTGAAAAGATTCCTTTATTTCTGGGCTTTCCATTCTGTTCCATTTATCTGTGTTTATTTTTATGCCAGTGCCAATACTGTTCTAATTACTTTAGCTTTGTAATGTAGTTTGAAATCAGGCCTTTAGCCTTGTTCTTCTTTCTTAAGATTTCTTTGGTTATTCAGGGAGTTTTGTGGCTCCATACAAATTAAGGATTTTTTGTTCTAGTTCTGTGAAAAATGTTGTTGGAATTTTTATAGGGATTGCATTGACTCTGTGGATTGCTTTGGGTAGTATGGATACATCACCAGTCTTTCTAATCCATGATCATGGAATATCTTTTCGTTTATTTGTATCTTTATTTTCTCCCATCAATTAAGGAAGAGAGAAAAGTATATATTTAAATGTATATTTATAAATGATTACAAATTAAATACCTGTTTAACCACCGTCCAAATTAAGGAGTCAGCGTCAGCACCACAGAAATGTCCTCGACAGCTTCCTGCTTAACTTCTTCCTTCTATAAAGAGAACTACTATTCTGATTTTTGTGCTAATAACTCTCTTGATTTTCCTTACACTTTTATTATCTAAATTACCAGTAAATATGTAACTCTGAGAAATGTAGTTTAGTTTTTCATATCATACGTGTCACATAAATGGGATCATGCTGCATATATTCTTTTGTGGCTTTATGTGATTCTTCATATAGCCTTATGATTTTAAGATTCATATGCTGTTACATTTAGCACTTCACTGTCATAACTGAAGTACACCATTTTTATGAATTCATGCTTAGGACAGCAGGGACATTAGGAGATTAGAGAGACATGCATACAGAGAGATTAAAGAATGACACATTCTTCCATCTTTCAAAATTTTGGTTAGTTCCAACCCTGTATTAGGTAAGAATTTAGGACCCTGTACTCATTTCGAAACTTGCTCTTAAGGTTCGAAATCCAGACCAAAAGAAGAGGAATAAGCCTACTATATATACTAAGGTTGATGTTCAAAAAGTTTACATTTGAGCTCTCCAAGCAGCATATCCACTTATTTTTTTTAATGATTTTTTTTTTTTTTTTTTTTTTTTGACAGACAGAGATAAGTAGGCAGAGAGGCAGGCAGAGAGATAGAGAGGAGGAAGCAGGCTCCCTGCGGAGCAGAGAGCCCCATGTGGGGCTTGATCCCAGGACCCTGGGATCATGACCTGAGCCAAAGGCAGAGGCTTTAACCCACTGAGCCACCCAGGCACTCCAGCATATCCACTTATTGAGTAAAGATTTATTGTGACCCACCATATGCCAGATACATGCCATAGATATAGCAGTGACCTCCATCTTCACAAAGTTGGTTGTCTAATAGACGTAGTAAAGATAATAAAGAAGCAGTAATTATAAGTATGATGATAATGGAGAAGATGACAGGAAACACAGGATGAGACCATATAGAATCAGGAAAGAGTTCTTGACAGAAGAAATACCCATGCTGAGACCTGCCAGATGACTAAGAGTAAAACTGAGTTAGAGGAGGGAAGGGAATTAGGGGGATGAATGTCCAGCATGGATAAAAGCTGGAGATTAGTCTGACAATATGAAACTTTTTGAACAAACTGAAAATAATTCAGTATGGCTAGAGTGTAGACTGAGAGGCAGAGAGTTCTACAGATTAAAAAGGGAAACAGAGGCACAGATCATACATTTGGACCATTGTCTAGGTAAGACCAGTGGGGAACAACTGAAAGATTTTAAGAATATGTGTTATATGATTTGATTTTATATAAAAAAAAGAGACTGCTAGGGGTGCCTGGGTGGCTCAGTTGATTAAACATCTGACTCTTGATCTTGGCTTAGGTCATGATCAAGCTCTGCATCAGACTCCATGCTTGGTGTGGAGCCTGCTTGAGATTCTTTCTCTCCTGTTCCTTCTGCCCCTCCCCTACACACACATGGCATGTCTTGCATGCTCTCTCTCCTTCTTTTAGAGAGAGAGCAACTGCAGTGTGGAGAGATTAGAGAAGTGGAGCATATGGCTAGAGACATAGAGACTACTCTTTGAGGTTGTTTCTGTTATCAGAATGAGAAGTGATGATAAAATTGGATTCGTAGCAATAGAGATGGAGAGTAATGGGCCAGATTGGAAACCCCAGTGTAGGAGGTGGAACCAGCAGGAGAATTCAGTGATTAGATTGGATTAGGGAGTGAGAAGATAGTGTCCTCAGGTTTTTGGATTGGGTAGCTAATGTGGATGGTGATGCCATTTTTAAAACATTAGAAAAAAACAAGGCTTTAATAAGAAACCGTGATAAAATTAGCTTTATTTGAAGTTTCTGTGTAATAGGCAAGCAGAAAAATTGTATAAGGTTCTAAATCTCAAGAGAAAGTTTTGGACATAAGATAGACCTGTGGCATAGAGTTATTATTTCTGTTTTACAAGTAAGTACTTTTAGTCCTGTGACTCGATTCTGTTAGGGCTTTTATAGGCTTTTATTGACTGATTTAATAATCTTAAAATTCATGGGATTATTTCTATAACATGAGTAATTACTTCCAAACATTCCACATAGCCACATAAACTTTGATATTATAATCAATTTGAGAATTTCCTGATTTTTTTAGCTTTTGTTCTTTAAAAAAAAAAAAATCCTTTAAAATGCATAGTAATACAGATTTAGACAAATTAGCCCTTATTCTGTGGGATGCTTGATGCAGGTCCATTGAGAAACAGCAGACAGAATCATTTCTGGAAGCAGGAAAACTGAAAGCAGATTTCCTTCTCTCCAGTATTGTTCTGACTCCATTTGTACATCAAAATGGATACCACCTAACCAGGAAATTTCTGGAACTGGGGCTGCTGTCCTGGAAGCCTCAGCCAGGCCCTGGATGCAGAATGACCCCATGGATATCGACGCTAAAGTGGGCAGTTGCCACCAGGTGGTGCCAAACTGCAGCCCAGGTGGAAAGGGATTTGCGTTGCTCAGAGACCCCAAGCCGCTAGTTGCCTAGGCTCACTTTTGCCATTTATTAACCTCACAGTAATCCAACCCTGTATTTTTTATGGCTGAAAATCTTTGAATCACATTTTTTAATTATGGCAAGATGTAACTGTTCTTAGAGCTTGTATCTCACTGGTCTTTGATAAAGTAAAAATTATAGATTATTTCTTTTAAAATTTCATAGTATGAGTTAATAAAACAGATGAAGTATTTACACTTGCATATTTGTACTCAGTCTCCTTACCCCTCCCCCAATTAACATTTTTAGAAGAAAATTAAATGAGGAGATTAGAAAAACATGTTATACCTTTGGTTGGCTTTCTATACACTGGGGGGATATTAAGAGAGTGCTTTTTATTTTCTCTTCTTAGATGTGGAAAAGAAAGATGGA